ACACACACATACATACACACACACACACACACACACACACATACATACACACACATACATACACACACACACACACACACACACACATACATATACACACACACATTACAAATAAAAAAAAAAATGGTTTATACGTTTTTTTTATGGTGTTACATAAAAAGTGTAATTTGAAATAAAATAAACTTGTAAATAAAATAATCCAAACTGAAATAAAATGAAAGTATAAAAAATTACTTAAAATTAATTTGTCATATAGTTACCAAGGCAACATTTCTCCTTTTAATTTAACTTAATTTTGAACAAAATTAGCAAATAAATAATAAATAAAAATAATAAAATTAAAACTAAATATGCATATTTTAAAAAAAAAACCCGAATGAAACTGACAAAAAGACAATAGACAATAGACAATATATATATATACACACACACACAAAAATGAACTAAAATTAAAATGAAAAAGATCATATAAAATTAAAACTAATTCAAAATATTAATAAAAACGATAATAGTAAATTATACCAAAATAACACAGAACATATTAATGTATTGTGCTTCCTTTATTTATCCCTTAAATTTACCTTCATCAAACCTGCAGAAACATTTACATTACATTTAGTCCTTTTGCAGATGCTTTTATCCAAAGCGACTTACAAATGAGGAATACATCAAGCGATTCTTCTTAAAGAGGCAAACAGACACAGGAAGTGCTTGAAATACCAAGTTTTAGGCATTGTTCAAATAAGTACAAGCTAGAAAGGGAAGGAATAAATAAAGAGAAAGACAAAGTTTTTTTTACATTTTTTTAATTTCTTAACCCTGTTAAGAGCAAGCATCTGAATGCAATGACTTGCTCTTCCTCTGAATGGCGTTGCTCAGATGTCCTCCAGCTCATGCAGGCTGTTGTATGATATAATAATGCCTCTGTTTTTGACTGTCAGGAGTTTAAAACATGTGGCACGTCTAACATGGACTCAAACAAGGTCAGCGGGAACCTGGAGACCAAGTATAAATGGGCCGAGTACAGACTGACCTTCACTGAGAAGTGGAGCACGGACAACACGCTGGGCACGGAGATCAGCGTGGAGGACCAGGTGCAGAAAAATAACTTCCTTATGATTCCTACAGTCATGGAGAACCTAGATCCTCCTGACCACCAGCTCTGGAGAGCACATTATGTTTTAGCGATTTCTCGGAGACCTCACATGTCACAGTGTTAGGTCTGGATGTCTTACATATGTCTTCTTTGTACATATAATAAATCAGCAGCTCAGGAAAATGTTATGGGGTTTCAAATCAAAATATGAGCTTCTGTTATGAAACAGGACATCGATTTCATAGTTTATAATTAATAAAAATTATTCTTGTTAATTATTATCATAACTATTTATCAACAATGATGTAATAATTATAATTATTATTTAAAATAATAAATAATAACTGCAATTACTTACTTGCACAGTGCCTGTGTTGATTGGAAGTGTATTAATACTTGTTTCACTGTGATACACCTCATATAAGCTGGAAGATGGCACTTGTTGTGTAGACAGCTTTAGTTATTATAGGGCTGTCAAAATGGCTGAAAAGCTAAATTCGAATTTTGTACTTAAATATTATCAGTATTCGAATTATATTCGAATATAAAATGCATAATTTCAGTTAGGGGGAAAAGGCTTTTGGCTTCTCTCCTGGGGCCACAAGAGGGCGCTGGATAAGCTAAGAAATACATTTTAATGCAACGACACTTACATCGTCATCGCATCTCGTGCACCGCTGATAAGGCTGCCTCCTTAACGCACACCTAAAATTCGAATGCAACGCTTTAGATGTTTATTTTAAATTCGACGAATATTCGAAATTCGAAAAAAAATTTGACAGCCCTAATTTATTATAAAGAGAACAATGAGGTTTTTATTGATGCATGGCACCACTCACATCCGACATACGCTGTAGGCCATTCACAGCTTTCTCATTGTTCATGAGTATAATCCTGCTGTCCTCTGCTGGCATCTGCCTTTCTGGTTTCACCATACTAAGACTACAGTGACTCCACTTCTGGGAGATTTTCCTCAGCTAGCTTTGACTGTTTTGTTGGTTTTTGTAACTTTATCAATCATAGTTATGTATCTTAAGTATCTTCACAAATTGGCAGTGTGTTTTATGATTATATACTGTTCTGATGATATAAAACTGGTCATACTGACCACCTCTGTTTTGAGACTCTATTGTAAGACGACAAGAATCCTGAACCTGACTGTAAGAGTGTCTTTGTGTCACTGAGATGCATCAGTCATTTAACAGCATCTGTGTGCTTCTTTCAGGCTAAAGTGATTTTATTTTATTTATTTTTTTTATTTATTTATTTTTTTTTTTTATTTAATTTTAATTGTATTTTATTATTTTATTTTATAAAAAAATGTTTTTTAATTTTATTCTTTTTTTGTAAATTTTTTTTATTTTTTTATTTTGTTTTGTATAAAATATTTGTTTGTTTGTTTTTATTTTATTTCATTTATTTAATTATTTATTTTGTTTTACTTTTTGTTTCATATAAAATATTTCTTTATTTTTTATTATTGTTTTTATTTGTTGTATTGCATACATTTTTATTTTGTTACTATTTTATTTTTTTTTTCTGTTTTGTATAAAATATTGTTTTGTTTTTATTTTATTGTATTATTATTATTTTATTAAATTTTTGTTTAGTTTAAAATATTTTATTTATTTTATTTTATTTCTCTTACAAGCAGTAGGGTTAGTATATAAGTGCATTCTAACTGAAGTGCTTTTTTATACTGACAGTGTTTCTGTCATATTCTGTACAAGTTGGAACACGAGTGCCAAAATAAATATCTGCATAAATCTCACAAAACGAAGCCATGACCATGTCATATTTCACTCAAAATCAAAAGAATCAAGTATTTATTTTATAGAAAAGTACTTCTGATTCTGGTGTGAAATGTGTCAGGCATGAGTTTGACCCATGCGTCGCTTGCGTCTGATGCAAACTGTGTGTGTGTCCAGGAGTGAAGCTGACGCTTTCCGCCCTGCTCGATGGGAAGAACATCAACGCTGGAGGCCACAGACTGGGTCTGGGACTCGAGCTGGAGGCGTAACACCCGGCTGAGCATCGTGTTTCTCCACACGCGTTTAAACCGAACGCTGAACCCAAACCTGCGCCTCAGGCGTCTATTATTTATTTGCTGCACTACCTTTACTGTCAATATTTCTCTCCAAACTGGCGCTTTCGATCTGCATGTGCTTTCCTTTCCAGGTCATTTTCTGAGTAATAGTTTACCAAAAATGTAAATATTATTATTTACTCATTCTCATGTTGGTGCAAACCTTTATTTTAATAAACCTAAATGTTTATGCAGCTCCTTTCTATACAACAACAGTGACCACGACTGCCAAACTCCAAAAAAGCACACAATATCAGTTTTTGTGTACTATAAACAAAGTCTTCTGAAACTATGCAATGGCTTAATGTGAGCAACATAAATATACTCTGATCATTTTATGACTTCATGTCATTTTTGGAGCTTGACAGCCTGTTTTTGTGTGGAAAAGATTGTGTAAAAATGTTAAAAATGACCACATGTTGGTTTGGATCAACATGAGGGTGAGCAAGTTCTGAATGTAGAGGATGATTTGCACACGGAGCGTCTCCTCGTGCCGCTGCTGGTTAGTGATGTCTGGACGCTTTTGTCGGCTGTTTGTTGTGGTCGTTTGGCTTTATCGTCCTTCTCTCACTGCATTCAGGCTTTATGGTGTTCAAATGGGTTCTTTCGGCGAGAGATGTTGCGGTTGTTTCACTTGACCTCTCCAGAAACCCTCACACAGACACGGATACGAGACCAGAGGCTTTCCCTGCTGAGCCGCACAATCAAACCCTTATGTATGTCCACCTTTGCAATAAAGTCTTAAAACTGGAATTGTTTTGTGTTTTATTAACTATATTTAATTTTTTTAAATAATAGTTATAAATATAGGAAGAGTTTGTGCAAAAACAGATAATTCCGGTTTTTTTTATTTTCAAAAATCATGTTTTTTTATTATGTTATCATGGTTTTATTGTGTTAGTTAGCTGTATTTGTTAGTTATTTTTTTTACCTAATCAAAATAACCCGATTGCAGTTTGATTGAGATTAATTGGAATGCACATAGAAAAAAATATGATTTTTGAAAGTTGTTAAAAATAGAGTTATCTGTTTTTGCAAATGAACTCTTCATATATAAATATAAATAATAAAAACGCAAAAAAACAAACAAAAAAAAGTAATATGAGGTATGCCTGAGAGCAGTGGTTTCTGAGCTAGGATTGGTCAGTAATGTTTTAGGGCGGGGCTTAGCGAAAGTCAAAAAGCTTTGATTGTGCAATTTTGAGTGTCACATGTCCCGCCCAATAATTAGAAATGGCCAAATTTTCCCCCAAATATTTGAAATTCTTCTTGCATTGCTTTGCTGCGCTCCATTATGCAGAGCTCTGTTTGTTGTTAGGATGACAATAAGATTTAAAAAAATATATATTTTTAGGCTGGTTTGTCTGAGTGGTCTAACAGCGCTCGTCAATCTCAACATGATTGAGATGACCAATCAACTCACAGTGGGCGTGGTTTACTCTTCATCAGCAGAGCGCGAATTTCCCGCGTTGGAAACGTAAAGCGAGCGAGGTAAGATGAAAGTAGTGAAACATTTCATATTTGACAACTTTTTCAAGATATAAATGTTAAATGTATGACAGTAATATACAGTGATGCAAACTACTCGACGTTTTTTTTTTTTTTTTATCAAATAACGTTACCCGTTTTTAATTGAAAATATGATATCGTTTACGTGATTAATTTCTAACTGAATGAGACGAGGCAAGAAACGTTTTGAGGTTTCGACTTATTAACATACAAATAAAAGTGCATGTGTGCCTTTTTCAAAATATTTTTAGCAAATAGTTTAAAATGATTACTTTCCAACTAGAATTTCCTTCACTGTTCCTTCAAAACAAACAAAAAAAAGACATGTTTATGGCCTTGCTTTGATTTACAGGATACAAATATTCAAAACATGTATTTAAAATATTCCAGATTTCAGTGCAGTAACTTTGTTTGTTAAAGCAATAAGCCCCAAGAAGCCGTGGTTTACAGTGAATTTATAACAGCTAAGGGTGGTCGCAACAAAGTGGTTGCCGAGCAACACACAAACGTAAACAAAGGTGTATGTTTGTAGAGTAATTTACAACAGCTTCGAACGCGGCTCAGCCAATCAGAATCAAGGAACGGAACTATCCGTTTTATAATGAAAAATTTATACCACATAAAAAAAACTATAAAAGCATAATAAAGCATGTGCACTACAGCCTTTTACAGTCAAATTAAGGTCTATTGTGGAAATGTATTTTCAGAAACAATCAATAGTTGGCACCATGAACAATTGAATACAAAACTTTCAATTATTACAATGCATATTCTCAGTTGAACAACCTAAATAAATGATTGCAAATGTTTTCTTCAGTCTGTTATGGTGGTATATCACTATAAAGTCATATTTTGAATGCTAATGTCAGACCGTCGCCTACTGTTAACATGCTCAGATGGATTCTGGTGTCTCGGTGGAGCTTCTTGTTCAGTTTATCAATGCTGATGGAGTCGATGTCACCTTCCTCTGGGTTCACCACTCGACCGCTCCACAGCACCTAGAGGTCAGATATTTCATTTGAAAGAAATTAATACTTTCATTCATCAAAGATGCATTAAATTGATCAAAAGTGACAGTAAAGGCATCTATGATGCTACCAAAGATTTCTCTTTCAAATAAATGTTGTTCTTTTGAACTTTATATACTTAGGAGAAGAATACTGAGAAATAAAATGTATTGTGGTTTCCGTAAAAATATTGGGCAGCAAAAATGTTTCTTGAGCAGCAAATCAGCATATTATGAAGGATCATGTGACACTGAAGACTGGAGTAATGATGCTGAAAATACAAGCTTTGATCACAGGAATAAATTACAGTTTAACAGATATTCACATAGAAAACAGCTATTTTAAATATTAATAATATTACATATTTTTACAGTATGTTTGATCAAATAAATGCAGCTTTGGTGAGCGAAAGAAACAACTGTTCAGTGTACATCATATTTCATAAGACATTGATGCTTAAAAATATTTTTTTTTCCCCAGAATTTTGAGTTTATCTCTCGCAATTCTGACAAGAAAAAAGTAGAATTGTGAGATAAAGTTGCAATTGGCTTTTTTATTTTATAT